AAGGAAGGAAGGAAGGAAGGAAGGAAGGAAGGAAGGAAGGAAGGAAGGAAGGAAGGAAGGAAGGAAGGGAGACAATAAAATATTGAGGTTAGGTGGGAAACGGGGACGAAGAGGTGGGTTAAGGAGTAACCAGGTAAGGGACACAAAGGATTATGACTTGTAATGATGAACATGCTAATAGTATTGATTTGATCATCACATACTGTACACAAATAATGATAGTCAAATCCCCATAAATGTGTATAGTCAATTGGGTTTCACTTCAAAAAATAAACTAAAATAAATAAAATATTTTTTAAAAACGAACTCAACAGCAAAAAAAAATAACATAATTAAAAACTGGGCAAAGGATCTGAATAGACATTTCTCAAAATGCAAAGAAATACAAATGGCCAACAGGCTTATGAAAAAATGCTTAATATCATTAATCATCAGGGAAAAGCCAATTAAAACCACAATGAGATATCATTGCAGTTAGAATGGCTATTACCAACAGGGCAGAAAATAACAAATGCTGGTGAGGATGAGAAGAAAAGGGACCCCTCCTACTTTGCTGGTGGAAACTAAATTGGTACAGCCACTGTGGAAAACAGAATGGAAGTTCCTCAGAGAACTGAAAATAAATCTACCCTACAACCCAGCTATTGCACTACTGGGTATATACCCAAAAGAAATGAAATCGTTATATTAAAAACATATCTGCACTCCCATGTTCACTGCAGCACTATTCACAATAGCCAAGAGATGGAATCAACCTAAATGTCCATCAGTGGATGAATGGAGAAAAAAAATGTGGTACATACGCAGTGGAATACCACTCAGCTATTTAAAAAATGATATCCTATCATTTGCAGTAACATGGATGGAACTAGAAACCATCATGGTAAGTGAAATAATTCAGGCACAAAAAGACAAATACCATGTGATATCACTCATATACAAAATTTTTAAAAAGAGATTCTCAAAGTAGAGAGTAGAACAACGGTTAGCAGAGGCTGGGAGGGGAGAAGGGTAGGAGGAAAAACAAAGCTGTGCTGTCTGCCCTAAGTGGTTCATCACGCACTATACGCATGTATTGAAATAACACACCTACCCCCACAAATATGTACAAATCAATGTTAAAATTTTAAAAATTCTTAAAAAAACAAAAAACATGGTTCCCCCTTCTCGTTCCTTTTTTCTGTTTTCCTGGGATTCTTCAATAAGCTTTCAGGAGACTCAGGCTTACTTAACTCCACTGGGAGGCAGGAAATCGATGTGTATGAAAGAAATATGTTCATAAATTATATTAATTCTGCACGTGTAAAAATGTGTGGCTCTTAAATATATTTCAGATCTACAAATGCGTGCAACACAAGGGGTCCGGAGTCTGCCTCACTTCCTTCTTGCTCGTTCACTGCCCGCTCATCCCTTTCTCCACTCTCACTATTCAAGCTCCCACCCGCTTAAGATCCGCAGGCTGGAGCCAGAGCCGGGAGGACTGTCTTACGCGGCACGTTGTACTTTTGGAGGCAGCAAGCGAGCTCCATGGGTCGCACTGCTTTCTGCCGGCTGTCCTGCATCTTCTCCAGCAGCAAAAGCAGCTGGAAGGGGACACTCCTCCTCTGCTCTTCCACTTGCTTTGGCACTGTTATCCTGCCAAATAAGAACAAGCAGGAAGCTCCTTACGCCCATGGTTTCCAGTGCTGGGTGCACACTGGAATTACCTGGGGAGCTTGTAAAAAAATGTCCATGTCCAAGACACTCCCCGTGTGAACTAAATGAGAATTCTGGGAGTGGGGCCCAGTTATGAGAATTTTTAAGTTCCCCAGATGATTTAAATGTGTGGCTAGGGTTCAGAACCACCAAGTTAGTGTTAGCCCTCTCAAGAGGGGGACAGCACAACTGCCATCTCAATACCCCCCACCTGCCGACAGTCACACTACAGTGAAGGGCAGATGCACCAGGGTCCACATCTGGGGAAAGCAGCAACATGTCCGGCCAGATGCAATTCAAACTATAAAAGCAAATACTGAGTTAGTCCTGGGCAGAAAGGGCAAAATGAAGGGATGGCAGTATTTTTGCAATGATTCATTTAATTACAGGCATCTCTTAATTGCTTGTGACAATGGATGGAAAAAGGAGAAAGCATAAGGCAGAAAAGAATGTGCGAGTGTGTGTGTGTGCGTGTGCGTGCACGCGTGCACACATGCTCACTGACTTACTCCTTCTCCAACAATGGTCTAGTCCCAACTCCCTTTTAGCCAAATCAGTGGCTGTCAATCCAGGCTGCACTTTAAAATCACCCAAGGAGTCTTTTAAAAAGTACCAATGCCTGGGCTCCACCCCACACCAACTTAAAACAAATAACTGGGGGTGTGCCCAGACATTTATATATTTTTAAAATTTCCTAGGTGACTCCAATGTATAGTTCAGAATATGCAGTAAAAGATCTTTCCTCTGGCAACTTTTGTAAGAACACCTCTAAAAGCTCAAGTCACTGTAAATAACTGAATATTTTAAAACATAAAATAATATACATGTTTATCAGCCTGAATAATAATCTTACCTCTTCAATATCTTGGTGAAGTCCATGTTCATTATGAATACCTGAATGAGGGAATTAAGGCAGCAGGTCTGTCCAATGTTGTGTAAACCAACTAGGCCTATAAACAGAAGAGAAAAAATACTGAGGGTAAGGCCCAGCTAAAGGACTTAACAAAGATTAAACATTTTTCTAGAGTCTACTAAAGACATTGCTATGGGTTAAATGTGTCCCCCAAAGTTTCATGTATTAGAAATTTAATCCCCACTGTAATAATGTTAAGACGGTGAGAAATCCTATTATGATCATTGAAAGGTGGGGCCTTTAAGGGTGATTAGATTGTGAGGTCTGTACCCTCGTGAGTGGATTAATCTATTGACGGTTTAATGGGTGGTCATGGGCGTGGTTCTGATGCTTTAAAAGGAGAGTGGATGAGAAGGTGAGCTCTCTTGCTCAGCCATTAGCCATGTGATACCCAGCGTCATTGTACAGCCACCACCAAGAAGGCCCTCATCAGATCTGTTGCCTGGACTGTGGACTTCCCAGCCTCTGAACTGTAAGAAATAAATTTTATTTCTTTAAAAATTACCCAGTTTCAGGTATTTTGTTATAAGCAACAGAAATGAACTAATACAGATATAAAATCCTGTACAGTACTCTCAGATGTACAAAGAATACACTACAGAGCATGCAAACAAATTGGAGAGGAAACATCGGTCATAAACCTTTGAAAGGTTAAATAACGAGAAAATTATAATAGTCCATTAGGAAAAGAGATGTGTCACCAAGAAAAAAAAGTGTATTACTCATTGCCAAATGAACAGTACAAACAATTGTTAGAAGATAAAAAGAAAAGACAGAAACATTACAGAAAGCCTAACTGGGAGAACTCATACAAGTTGTTCTCTACAGAGGTGAGTCAGAACGGGGATCTATGGGGCTCAGGAATAAGATAACTCCACAGCTAGTCTATGTCAAACTCCACTGAGAAGGACCCTGCCCAGTCCCCACCACAGGAATGGAGGAAGTCACAAGAGAGCTGTGGGGAAGATCACCTCATCTAAACTCACCTCGAGAGGCTGAAAGCCAGATCAGACCCACAAGGATATGAGAAAACCAAAGGATGACATTTCTCTGACCCACTAACCAACCTCTTCCTTTCCAACCCAACCTTAGGCTCCCCTGTCCCCACAGGGTGAGTAATTTAAGAGGAATCTTGGAATTACTGGAGAAAGGGCTTTGGTGTATATGAAATAGGGCATAGGGAGTGTAAAAGTCCAGGGGTAGCATAGGATCACAAATTTCTGCTCCCAAATCAGTAGGAGCTCCTTACTTCTAGACAGATGTGTACAAAGGAAATAGTAAAGACAGGACTAATGCTGAGTGCTACTATATGCCAAGCACTGGTTTAAAGTATTTTCCATAGACTCACTTAATCATCCCAACAACCTTATGTACTTGGTACTGTTATTATCCCCATTTTACAGATGCAGAAACTGAGGCACAAGAGATCAAAAGCTATTAACAACAAAACTCTGCTTCAGCATACAGGGGACGAGCAAAGCATTTGTATTCAGTCAAGAAGAGAAAAAGGGGAGGGATGTAATGACCATGAGGGTAGTCCCCAGCACCCAGACGTTCTCTTTGCTTCTCTCTCTTCTTCATGGTGTTGTTTTCCTCCTTCATTTCAACAGGTTCTGCTGGGAACTGCTGAGAGCCAGCCTGGACTGACTGGCAGGGTTTCCTCAGGAACCCAAATACCTTGCCCATTAGCAATCACTCCAAAATCCCCAGGCTGAGGCTGCCAGGAAGACCTCACATGAGCCAGGCACGATGGGATCCCTGTGAAAACACAACACAGGAGGGGAAGAGATTAGAGAAAGGGGAAGGCATATTCACGTCATCAGTTCTGGTTTGAAAGAGCCAAGTCTTAGAGGAAGATAATGTTTAGGGAGATGGACTCATGAGCTCTAGATTGACTCATAGGCCGCAAATGACAATTAGGCTAGATGTCCCCTACCCTTGGTCCCACACGTTTCCATTTGATCTTCTCCGAATGCACTGCCACATCCTAACACTGAACAACATCCTTTGTTCCCAGATTCTCTGTTATGGTCAATGGCATGACACGCACCAAAATGTCCACAGCAGAAGCCTGGGTGTCTCCCTGCTCCTTACTCCCCTGCACAATCGGCAAGGGCTGCTGACCGCACTGCCTAGAGGCTGCTCACAGCACACTCATTACTATCCAAACCCCTGATTTCCTGGGATGCCACTACAGATGTTCAAGTTCCAATAAAACATCCTTTTCTCTGGGAAGCCTTTCCCGGTCCCTCAGGAAGGGCTGGGTGGTATCTATTCTTGATGCACTTTGTACACAGAGCTATTCAAGTAATTGGCTCATTATATTCCACCATGAGGAATATCTGTCTCTCCACTTGTGAATATGGTGTCACCACTCGGATTCCATTCTCCAGGGTGAGAGAAGTGTGGGTGGTTGACAGAACCCAACTGAGTTCCTCTCCATGCAAACCAAAGGTCCATACGCACAACAAAATTGTAACTATAAATGAGGTCATGTTAACTACGATACTCAAATTCCCCTAGTTCTTTACATCCTCCTGACAACACAGACCTCAGCCACCTGTAAATTCTCCCCAAGCATATTTTGGAGTCCCAGAAGTCTCTCGTGTATTTGAAACAAAGGCCACAACCTCTGTACCCTGCCATTGCCGACCTCCCTCCAGTGTCCACTGGGTATTTGCAGGGCACTGCCAGACAGAGCGATCAACATACAGAGATTTCCTCACATCTCTAAGTGGGGGTTCAACATGAAATAGGGAAACACACTCAGCTCTTCCCACTGTCTTCTGCCTTTTCATTTCACTGAGTTCCTTCTAAAAGGGCTTCCAATTCTGCCTGCAGCTGCTCTCTCTCCAGTGTTCTCAGCCCTGCCCACGAGACTAAGCTGGGGAACACAGACACGCTGCGTATTCCACATCTCCGTCCTCTCCACCCAGGGGCATGTATGCACGATTTCCTCAATGGTTCCCCTTTACCACATGCAAACAAATCTGTGGCCCTGTAGCCTACCTGGCCATCAGGCACTAAATTGTAGTGTAGATTCAGCTAAGGAGAGATGCTTAGAAATAAATTACAAAGCCAAAGTGCACAAAGTTTAAGGTTCTTAATGCATGTGGCTAAATGCCTTGTACCAATACATAATCTGACTAGTGAGGTGTGAGAGGCCAGTCAGGACTCTGTGGTTAAATGAAGTAACCTGAGTTTGTTGAAGTTTATGAAGACAGGTGTCATGGAAGAGCTGAGCCTAGAAATGAATTCATTAAAGAGAAGAGGATATGGTTTCAAATAAGGAGCGTTTTGAGGCACAGCAGATGATACGCAAAAGATCAGCATTTGGGGGAGGAGGATGCAGGAAAGTGCACATGGAAGACTGAGGCAGATTAGCATAGACAAAACCAAACTCGAAATGGAAGAAATATAAAAGTTCCAGTATTTTAATTTTTATGAAAAGTAACTAGTCAAGAGTAGCCAAAGAAATTCACATCAAGACCACAATGACATACCATTTTATGCAATTCAGTTGGGAACAATTAGGAATTCTGATTGGAGAGAGGGGCAGAGCAAGATGGCTCAGTAGGACTCTCCTGGGATCGTTCCCCCCACAGAAACACCAATTTGAACAATTATCCACACACAAAAAAAACCTTCACAAGAGCTCAGGAAACCAGGATCACAGTAACTGACTTTAACATAATAATAAGAAAAGATGCACTAGAGCAAGGAGGAAGAACAATTTTATATCACCCCCTCAACACTTCCCTAACCCAATGCAGCACAGCATTAAGAGACACAGTCCACTGGGGGAAGGGGAGAGAAATAAGCATCGTGCCTTGCCTTGGAACACAGCACCAGGCCCTGCACAGTAAAACCCAGCAAAGGCAGATCCCCTCAGCCGCTGATGCCGGGCTAGTACTCATGGACAGAGCCTCCAGACCCACCTCAGTGCCAGGCAGAAACCCACCACCCTGGAAGGATGGACTCATGTTGCAGCAGGCATCACCTCCAGCTGACTGAAGAGGCCTGGGGCCCCAAATAAACCTCAACAACAGGCAGGCTGTAGCACGCACAGGCCTTAGACACACCCAGGTGCTGCACTGGTTTCCATGGCACTGGGCTTCAGGTACAATCTAATGTTGCATCAGCCTCAGCAGCCACAGAATTACGTACATCATCCCTCCCCCAACCCCAGGCAGCACAGCATGAAGAAAGACACCATTCACTTGGAAGAAGGAGGAGAAGGTAAGTGTAGGACTTTGCCCTGCCACCCAGTCTTGGCCTACCTCAATCAAACCTAGCACAGGGTAGAAACCATCAGCCTCTGACACCAGTATCTGTAGACAGAACATCTCTACATGCCCCAGCACCAGATGGGAACCTGTGGGCACAGCAGGACAAGATCCATGTTCCTTCTGCATCAACACCAACCAAGTACAGCAGACTTAAACCTCAAATAAGCCTCAACAGCAGGTAGACTGTAGCACTCACAAGTCTTAGGGGCAACCCAGTGCTGCACTGGTCTTGGCATCAGCAGGCTTCAGCTGTGACTCAATGTCACAGCCTTGGGGGCTATGGGATTGCCCATGGCACCCTTCTCAAAATCCCAGACAACACAGCCCAGAGAGAGACACCATTTGCCTGAAGAAATGAGAGGGAAGTAAGTGTAGGACTTTGCCTTGAAACCCAGCACCAGGCAGAACCCAGTGGCTCCTGATGCTAATCCAGTGCCCACAAGCAGAAACTCCCCACTGCCCTGGTGCCACACAAGAACAGCCTCAGTGAGAAAGACTCAAAATCCAGCTCACACCACCACTAGCTGACTGCAGTGGCCTCAGGCCCTGAATAAACATCAAAAGGAGGCAGGCCATGCAGCTACAAGCCTTGGGCACACTCCAGTGCTGCACTGGTCTCAACAGCCATGGGCTTCATGTGCAACCCAGCTGTCAGCCTCAGCAGCCAAAGCTTTCAGCCACAGTTGTCCTGGACTTAGGGCATCCCCTAGCACCACAATGGCTGAAGCAGTTATGAAATTAGGGTCCTCGCCTGTCAGCCTGTCCATATTCTCTGTACAAACTTACTGCTGAAGGAAGCTCCCAAACGAAGCCAGACTACAAAGATCAGATTAAGAACTCACACCAATGCACAAACATAGATGCACAGCAACAAGGATCAAGATCCATCAGGGAAATGTGACATCACTAAACAGAAAAAGTGCCAGTGACTGACCCTAAAGAGATGGAGATGGAAAGACAGCCTGACAAAGAATTCAAAATAGCTGTTTTAAGGAAGCTCAGTGAATTTCACAAGATACACAGAAACTATTAAGAAATTTATCAGAGAAATTTAACAGAGAGATTGAAATAATTTAAAAATTAAACAGAAATCCTGGAGCTGAAAAATACAATGAATGAAATAAAAATGCAAGAGAGCATCTACAGAGGGAATTGATCATGCAGAGGAGAAAATCTGTGAACTCTAACAGGTTAACTGAAAATATACACTCAGAAGAGAAAAAAGAATGAAAAAATAAAGAAAGAATTTTAAAATGAAGAATGTATGGAATTACAGTGAGGAGCAAATTACAGGTCATGGGTGTTCAAGAGAAAGTAGGAAATAAGAAAGGGGTAGAAAGATCACTTAAAGAAATAATAGAAAACATTCCAAACCTGCAGAAAGATATAAATACCCAGGTACAGGAAGGTCTAAGGTCTCAGATAAGATTCAATCCAAATAGGACTACTCCATGATATATTATAATCAAATTGTCAAAGATCAATGACAAAGAGAGGATCCTAAAAGCAGCAAGAGAAAAGAAGCAAATAACATATACAGGAGTCCCAATACATCTAGTAGCAGACTTCTCGGCAGAAAGTTTACAGGCTAGGAGAGAGTTGTATGATATACACAAAGTACTGAAGGGAAAACAACTCACAACCAAAATTGCTGTATCTAGCAAAGCTGTAGCTCAGAAGTGAAGAAAAGATAAAGATTTTTCAGACCAATGAAGCTGAGAAAATTCATTGCTACCAGAATTGTCTTAAAAGAAATTTTTCTTGGGCCGGCCCCGTGGCGCACTCGGGAGAGTGTGGCGCTGCCGCGCTCCCGCCGCAGGTTCAGATCCTATATAGAGATGACCGGTGCGCTCACTGGCTGAGCGCGGTGCAGGAGACACCACACCAAGGGTTGCGATCCCCTTACTGGTCACGAAAAAGACAAAAAAAAAAAGAAAAAGAAATTTTTCTTCAAGATGAAAGAAAAGGAATGCAACAGCTATACTTACGTCAGAAAAAAACAGGCTTTAAGTCAAAAACTGTAAAAAGAGCCAAAGAAGGTCACTATATAATGATAAAGGGATGCATTAGGCAAGAAGATACAACAATAGTAAATAGATATACACCTAACACTGTAACACCAAGATATATTTTTTGAAAATTGTTAGATCTAAAGGGAGAGACAGAGTCCAATAAAATAACAGTTGAAAACTTAGACACTCCCCTCTCAACACTGTACAAATTGTCTAGACAGAAAATCAACACAGAAATATTGTATTTCAAATGCACTATACACCAAATAGATCTAACTGACATTTACAGAACATTCCATCCAACAGCTGCAGAATATACATTCTTTTCATCAGCACATGCAACATTCTCCAGGATGGGCAATATGTGAGGCCACAAAATAAGTCTCAACAAATTTTTTAAAATTGAAGTTATATTAAGTATCTT